AGCCCAAGGCTAAACTCAGTGCTCATATTATCTTATGTAAGTTACTGTCATGAGTACTCATCCTGTTTCTATAAAGCATGTGCATATGTGCACACACACAAATCTTTATATATAATTTTTAAAGGTCTACAGATCACATATGGCTACCTATGAATTCTGGGAAGTCACAAATTTCAAGTTAAACAGCTTTGTTGTAAAGGCTTATAATTCTTTTTTGATTTATGTAATTATAACACCACTAAAATCCGAGAGTAAAATATATACTAACGTATACAAGATATATGAGATGTTTAAGTTAACCATATATACTGATTAGCTAAAAACTGGTTATAATTACCCTTTCCATTCTCGCAACAGGCTGTTAATGATTCCCTTTAACACTGTCTTCTGAATGTCTTGAGGCTGCAATCAAAAGAAAATAACCAATTAGGATTAGCCATTTAGGTGAGTTCTTATATGTTCATTTTACTTTCAGATCTGTTTAAATGGTTAAAATTGGACTTCAAGACTGAGGACTGACATGACCATATTGATTTCACATTTGAGAACTCTGGTGAGTACAAATGACAAGATTATACTGAGAACTCTCCCTAAGATGTACAGCATAACCTTTGATGATCAACAATAGTTTTATGTAACTATAAAAAATTTCATTTTCCTTGACTTTACAATATTAAATCATAACACAAATCCAAGAATGGCAAGTTTGCCAATATAAAATGATTACATATATTTTGAATATATTCAGTCCTATTATGTTACAATTATCAGTTAAACCCATAATTCTTTATTAAGTGAAACCAAATTATTTTAATTAAAAATATGTTAACAGGGAAAAGACTTTGTTCATTATAGGATAGATTTATGAAAGGCATAAAATAATATTCCTCTGTAGTTTAATAATTCAAACAAATTTTAAGAATTTATTTACTGCCAACTATCTCAAGAATGAATAAAAATAAAATAGGTCTAGATAGTACTTTCTGGTAGCTTTGGGATCCACAAGGAGAGAAGGCCCACACTTCCGGGAATGGAGAGTCCCTACCCGCACTTCCGGGAACGAAAAGTCCTTGTCAAGGTCCCTGCAGGTGCCTAAAGGTCAACAAATGAGGATCAGACCCACCAACCTTTAACCCCCATGCCCTCCCAACTTCTGACACACGACTTCCCTAGCCCCTCCCCCTCTGTTGAGATGGAGAATCTCACTAGGGAGCGAATTCCAATACAAGCTTGTAAATTGATTGATTCATCTGGCTGGGAAGATTTGTTACGTGCTGGACACCTTACACTTTCCTTCACAATAGAATAACACTTCATTAACTAGAAGTTAAAATAACCAGTAACATATCTGTGTCTTGACAATCGACAAGAAAATAAATTTATATTATGATTTATTTAAAAACAACAGCCATGATTTCCAAGAAATGTATATTACCATCCATTCAGCCTAGCTCTTACTGCTTTCTCTCCATCTGCTCACAGTGTCCCTTCACACCCGGAAGGCAGACACTACCCCAGCCCAATCACTTATTTAGTGTCCGCCCCTGAGCAATGCTAAGGCTGCAGGAGAAAAATCAAGCAACTGTGCTGCCTGGATCCACTTCAAGTTTGTGACCACAAGTCTCAAAACACACCACTACCACCAGCAGTTTTCTAACACAGCTCTAGTTCATTTACTCCCATACTCTCTAAGGCAATTCTTTTTTGTTTTGTTTTGTTTTGACAGGCAGAGTGGACAGTGAGAGAGAGAGACAGAGAGAAAGGTTTTCCTTTGCCGTTGGTTCACCCTCCAATGGCCGCCACGGCCGGTGCGCTGATCCGAAGGCAGGAGCCAGGTGCTTCTTCTGGTCTCCCATGCAGGTGCAGGGCCCAAGCACTTGGGCCATCCTCCACTGCCTTCCGGGGCCACAGCAGAGAGCTGGTCTGGAAGAGGGGCAACTGGGACAGAATCTGGTGCCCCGACCGGGACTAGAACCCGGTGTGCGGGCGCCACAAGGCGGAGGATTAGCCAAGTGAGCCTCAGCGCCAGCCTCTCTAAGGCAATTCTTATTCAAATCTGCTCCTCTGTGCTTTTGGTTTTGTTATTTTGGTGTTTCATGGTACTGACATTTTTGAAGAGTTTAGGCCACTTGCAGGCCTTTTTTTTTTTTTTTTTTTTTTGAGAATTAAAAGTATTTATTAGAATCAAGGACCTCCAGCCAGAGCAGCACGGAGGGGGGCATCCAAGAGAGGAAAACAATCAGATTGGCATTCTGTTACCAGGCAGGGACAAAAACCATCAAAAGACCCCATTTACAATTCTCCATCCTGTCTGGCCTGCTAAGGGTGGGGGAGATAACATCTGTTAGGGGGAAATGGGCGATGACTGCTCTGGCTGCTTCATGCTGAAAAGGGGCGTCTTTGGGAAGGGAAGTCAAGGCAGGGTTGCAGCAGGAGGTGGCTTCCCAGTGGGATGCAGTGCCAGCTTGCAGAAACTGCTTCCATGTGCATGAGGCCATTTGTTTTTGCCAGAATATCCTTTAACTTAAGGTCTTCTGTGATTTTCTTGTCATTAGATTTAGTTTATGCAATTTTGACAGGAAGATTCATTAATGATGTTTCCTTCTCAGTGTATCACATCAAGATGCACTTGATGTCACTTCAGTAATTCGGTTAACTAGGAAAGGCAGTCACTAAACCAATTATCACTACTATGGGAGGAAATCTGAAGTTTTTAACTTTATTATTCTGTCTGCATTTATTAGTTCACATACCATTATTAAAAAGGGCTTTCATTTCTCCTACATTTATCTATCTATATATTTATCTGCCTAACAATTGTCTGTTTGTTTAATTATTACCAGTATGGACTAAAATATCCTTAATTTACCTAGGGGGTTATATTTCATTATTATTTTTAAAAGTCAAATTAGATTTGGTCAATTAAGCCTTTCAGCTGACTCATGTGTGACTTCATAATTTCCTTTATTAGTAATAGATTTTATTTTTTTAAGAGTTATGTATTTATTTAAAAGGCAGAGTCAGAGAGAGAGCATCATGGAGAGAAAGAAGGTCTTCCATCCACTGGTTCAGTCCCCAAATAGCTGCAATGACCGGAGGTGGGCCTATCTGAAACCAGGAGCAAGGAGCTTCTCCTGGATGTCCAAGTGGGTGCAGGGGCCCAAGGACTTGGGCTATGTTTCACTGCTTTCCCAGATGCACTAGCAGGGAGCTGGACTGGAAGTAGAGTAGCTGGGAATTGAACCAGCACCCAAACAGGATGCCAGTGTCACAGGTGGTGTCTTTACCCGCTATACAACAGCACCAGCACCTAGATTATTTTTTTAAAGATTTATTTATTTATTTGAAAGGCAGAGTTACAGAGAGGCAGAGGCAGAGAGAGAGACAGAGAGAGAGGTCTTCCATCCATTGGTTCACTCTCCAGATGGCCACAATGGCTGGAGCTGAGCCGATCTGAAGCCAGGAGCCAGGAGCCTCTTCTGGATGTCTTCTGCTCTCTACTGCTTTCCCAGGCCATAGCAGAGAGCTGGATCAGAAGTAGAGCAGCCGGGACTTGAACCGGCACTCACATGGGATGCCAGCTCTGCAGGCTGTGTCTTTACCCACTACAGCACAGCGCCGCCCCCCCACCCCAGGCTATTTTTTAAAGCACTTTGGGCTTACAGAAAATTTGTACAGGAAGTATAGAGTTCCCATATATATATATACTCTCCCCATGCCCACAGCTTCCCTTACATTAACAGCTTGTATTAGTGTTGTCCATTTTCTACAATCAGTGAAACAGTATTTGATAAATTAGCTAAAGTCTATAGTTTGTATTAGTGTTTATTCTTTTTTTTTTTTTTTTTGACAGGCAGAGTGGACAGTGAGAGAGAGAGACAGAGAGAAAGGTCTTCCTTTGCCGTTGGTTCACCCTCCAATGGCCGCCGCGGCCGGCACGCTGCGGCCGGCGCACCGCGCTGATCCGATGGCAGGAGCCAGGAGCCAGGTGCTTTTCCTGGTCTCCCATGGGGTGCAGGGCCCAAGCACTTGGGCCATCCTTCACTGCACTCCCTGGCCACAGCAGAGAGCTGGCCTGGAAGAGGGGCAACCGGGACAGAATCCAGCGCCCCAACCGGGACTAGAACCTGGTGTGCCAGCACCGCAAGGCGGAGGATTAGCCTAGTGAGCCGCGGCGCCGGCCTAGTGTTTATTCTTTGTATTGTACAGTTCAGTGGGTTCTGACACGGGTATAATCTTACATAACCGCCAGTATGCTTTCATATGGAATAGTTTCACCATCCTAAAAACCACCTGTGCCTCACCTACTCTCCATTTTGCCTTCTGAGTCCCTAATCTTTTTACTGTCTTTGTAATTTTGCCTTTCCAGAATACTATATAATTGGAATCACATAGTAAGTTGTGGGGAGCAACTCGGACTAGACTAAGTTACTGGAATTAAGACTTATTCTATGCATCTGCTCTCCCACAATATGGCACTGGGAGAGGAGAAAACAGCTTCTACACAGCTGCCTCCAGTTCAGCCAATAAACTGTAGGACTTGCTCCTGATTGGAGGAGAGCAGCGTACTCGGCGTGTGGGCAGCCGAGTTGGGATTGGCAGAGGAGGACTATAAAGGAGGAGAGAGACGGCATGCACCAGGAACATCTAAGGGGAACACCTGTGCAGCCCCCGAGAGAGCTGGCCGGCGGTGTGCCGCTCCCCCGCGGAAGTGGGGAAAGTGGCCAGGGGGAACCCTTCCCTCCGTGGAAGGGTCGGTAGCCAACCCGGGAAGAACCAGCAGCAAACCCGGGGAGGGCCGAGCAGACGAAAGAACAGCGCAGGGTCCTGTGTCGTTCCTCCACGAAGACGGGGAGCGACATAATGGTGCCGTGACTTGGATAGGAAACCTAGGAGGGAAGAAACAGGAAGAAGTGGAAAATATCGGAGAGAGAGACTAGCAAACAGCCTAGGGAAAAGCCGGACAAAAAAGGTGCCGGAAGAAGCTATTGAAAGCCTAGGCATAGACTCAGATACGGACTACGGGGGGAAGCTGGGAGAAATCTCTAAGGGCGAAAGCGAAAGTGAAAGCTAGAACAAACAGACTTGGATACGGACTGTGGGGAGAAGCCAGGAGAAATGAGGGAGGAATATTGTTGGAAGAAAACTTAGGGAAATATACCGGGTAGAGAAAAATGTTAGGGAAATTGAAGCCGCGGGGGGCAGGCCGAGGCGGAAACGAAAGCCACTTTGGGATTCTCAAGTTAGCCCGGGAATAGGGGGCGAAAAGTTAAAACCAGAAGCGGAAACGTAAGCCCGGTTGGGATCCGTCTGATTAGCCCGGGGAGCAAAGGACGGGAAGCCAGATCGTGGGGCGGAAACGTGAGCTGGGTTGAATTCGCCAGGTTAGCCCGGGGAACTTAGATTGAATACTAGTGGCGGAGACGTAAGCTACGCTGTGTGACTCGTGGAGGCTGCCGTGCGCAGAGAGAGCGTGCGGGGCACAAGTAGATAGGGAACGCTGGGCTAGTGTGAGACCGTGGAGTGTGCGCGCAAAGCCGAGCCGCGCAGATGAGAGAGGCGCGGGCTGAAGCGGCTCAGCTGGGAAGCCGCCGAGAAGCAGCCTCGGGGCGGGCGCCGGGAAGCCGCGGGGATAAGAGAAACAGAAGTTTAGAAGTAAAATGAGAGAAATAGGAATGTTGGCAGACAGAAGTAAAATGGGAGAAATAGGAATGCCCGGAGATAGAGAAATAGAGAAATAGAAAGGCCTCCCCTCAACACAGCAATGAGAGAGCTTGGATTCGGTCTGCCTGATTAGGAAGGCGGTGAGCACCTGTGGGCGGCTAGCAGCTTATGCGCCGCAGGTCACCGAAGACAGGCACGAGTTAACATCAATAAGGCCTCCCCACAATACCGCAATGAGAAGGCTTGGATTCGGTCTGCCTGATTAGTAAGGCGGTAAGCACCAGCAGGCAGCTCGACTAGAGTATGAGCTGCAGGTCACCGAAGATAGGCACGAATCAACACCAATAAGCCTCCCCACAATATGGCAATGAGAAGGCTTGGATTCGGTTTGCCTGATAGGGCTTGTAAGCACCTGCAGGCAGAGCAGAGCATGTGCTGCAGGGCACCGAACACAGGCACGCATCAGCGCCTAAAAACCTCCTCACAACATGGCAAAGAGAGGACCCAGATTCGGTTTGCCTGATTGATAGGACTTGTAAGAAACTGTGGCAACTCTAGCAAGCAGAGCAGAGTGTGTGCCGCGGGGCACCGAAGACAGGCGCGTATCAACGCCAAAAATAAAAAGAAAGGGGGATCTGTGGGGAGCAACTCGGACTAGACTAAGTTACTGGAATTAAGACTTATTCTATGCATCTGCTCTCCCACAATATGGCGCTGGGAGAGGAGAAAACAGCTTCTACACAGCTGCCTCCAGTTCAGCCAATAAACTGTAGGACTTGCTCCTGATTGGAGGAGAGCAGCGTACTCGGCGTGTGGGCAGCCGAGTTGGGATTGGCAGAGGAGGACTATAAAGGAGGAGAGAGACGGCATGCACCAGGAACATCTAAGGGGAACACCTGTGCAGCCCCCGAGAGAGCCGGCCGGCGGTGTGCCGCTCCCCTGCGGAAGTGGGGAAAGTGGCCAGGGGGAACCGCCCTTCCACGGAGGTGGAAGGGACAGTAGCCAACCCGGGAAGAACCAGCAGCAAACCCGGGGAGGGCCGAGCAGATGAAAGAACAGCGCAGGGTCCTGTGTTGTTCCTCCATGAAGAGGGGGAGCGACATAATGGCGCCGTGACTCGGATATGAAGCCTAGGCAGGGTTTAGTGTCGTTCCTCCATGAAGAGGGGGAGCGACAGTAAGTAACCTTTTCAGATTGGCTTCTTTTACTTAGCAATACACATTTAAGATTTCCCCATGTCTTTTTATGAATTGATAGTTCATCTCTTTTTATTGTTCAAAAATATTCCAGGGTATGGATATACCAGTTTGTTTATCCATTCACCTACTGAGGGATATCTTAGTTGCTTTCAATTTTGGCAATTATGAATAAAGCTGCTATAAATATTTGCATATTTTGGGGAAGATAAAAAGTTTATAACTCATTTGGCTAAATATCTAGTAGCATGACTGTTTGGTCACATGCTAAACCTATGTTCGGTCTTTCAAAAAAGTGAAAATACAATATATCAAAATTTCTGGGATGCATTCAAAGCAGCACTTTGCAGGGTGGGGAAACTGTCCTGCCAAGGGCCATTTGGGTACTGACAACATCACTCGTGGGCCGCACAAAGTTATCAACTTAAAAATTAGCCTGCTATAGATTTACTGAGTTTTGAGTCCCACCTGTGGATTGCAGCACCAACCAAAGGATATCGCAGGTCTTGTACAGCCCCAGGGCCAGACATTGCTCATCCTTGATTAAAGGCAAATGTATAAGGGGGCTTCAAAAGACTTTTAGGAAAATGGAATTTAAAAATGATTCTGCTGCAAAATGTTTTGAAATCCATGCCATTTTTTCAAAATACACATTTTTCATGAAGTTTTTGAAGACCCTGAATGAATATATTAGGAAAAAAGATTTCAAATCAATCATTTAAGCTTCCACCTTAAAAAATTAAAAGAACAAATTAAATCCAACAGAAGGAAGGAAAGAAATAAGAAAAAGCTGAAATCAATGAAACTGAAAACAGGGAACTGATAGAGAAAATTTAAAAAAAAAACAAATGCAATTTTTCTGAAGAGATCAACAAAACTGACAAACCTATAGCCTGACTCATCAAGAAAGGAAGAAAGAACACAATAACAACACCAGAAATGAAAGAAGGAATGTCACTACTGACCCCATGGACTTAAAGGGAAAGTACTGTACAATTATGAACAAGTCTATCGCCACATATTTGATATCCTGTATGTGTCCTTGAAGACACAATATACAAATTCATATGATAGATTATCTAAGTAGACCTATGTCTACTACATAAATGGAAGTGATAATCTTTCAAAACAGAATGTACCAGGCCCAGATAGCTTTATTGGTGAGTTCTACCAGATATTTAAGGTGAAAATGATACCAATTTCTTAAAATTCCTTCCAGGGGCCAGCACCATGGCTCACTTGGTTAATCCTCTGCCTGCAGCACTGGCATCCCATATGGGTGCCGGGTTCTAGTCCCGGTTGCTCCTCTTCCAATCCAGCTCTCTGCTGTGGCCTGGGAGTGGGAGACCAGGAAGAAGCACCTGGCTCCTGGCTTTGGATCGGTCCGACCGTGGCGGCCATTTGGGTGGTGAACCAACGGAGGGAAGACCTTTCTCTCTGTCTCTCTCTCTCACTGTCTAACTCTGTGTGTCAAATAAAAATAAAACAAAAATTCCTTCCATAAAAAAGCAGAGAGAATACTTCCTAATTCATTCTGTTAGGTCTGCATTACTCTACTAATCAAAGTGCAGAAAGAAATTACAAGAAAGGAAAATTATGAACTAACATTTCTCATGAACATAGATGCAAAAACTCTAAAAAATACTAGCAATTGAACAAAAATTATTTTAAAAATGACCCATCATGACCAAGTGCTAAAATTTGTCAAATAGTTCTTTTGCATCTGTTGATAGGATCAATTTTCTTCTTTAGTCTATTGATGTGATGAATTATATTAATTGATTTTCAAATGTTGAACCAGCACTGCATGCCATTAATTCCATTTCTCCAAAAATCTTTTAAAGTATGTAAAAGTTACATCACTGAGTTTTTTTTTTTAAACATGGTTATAGTATTAAAAATATAGTTTGGTTTAATTACTTTCAGTTTGTATTCCATGTTGAAAGGTAATTTCCTCATGTCTGTAGACCTAATTTTTTAGTGCTAATAAAACAGAATCATGCCACACCAAAAGAAGTCAGAGAAGTGGACCCAGACGTAGGACTGTTGGATCACAGTATACGCACATACACATTTGTTGAGTGGCAGTAGATAATGCCAGGTAGTTTCCCAAAATAGTCGTATCAATTTATACTCACATCAGCAAGATATATAACTTTGCTTTTTCTATAATATTGCTAATTCTCGGTAAGGTTTTTGAAAAAAATGTATTAATTTTGATGGATGGATACTGTTATTTCCATTTCTCTGATAACCAGTGATATTTAATAGTAAAGTATTCAGAACGAGAATAAGAAAAGAGATCTGCTACTACTTCTTTTATTCAAAATTATATAAGAGGCCCTACCTAGTGCAGTAAGACGAATATATTCATCCATTCATAAAAGATGTAAAGAAGAGAAAGAGATAAAACTCATTTTCCATAAGACATGATTGTGTACATAGAAAATCCAAGTAAATTTATTGACACACTATGTAACACTTCTATAAAGAAAACTACAAAACAATATTGAGAAAAAATCAGAGATGACCTAGGTATTTGGAAGTTTTACCACATTCACAGATTGAAAGGATGTCAATTCTCCACAAATTGATGTATAACAGGAAGGTTCTCAAAGTGTGGTCCTTGAATCAGGAGCATCAAGCTATGAGAAGTCTTCAAAAAGTTCATGGAAAATTCACATTACAAAAAATTATGCATGGATTTAAAATCTTTTGGCACCAAAACAAACTTAACTTCTAATTCCATCTTCCTATCAATGTTGTGCAGTACTCTTGTATCCTGGAAATTTGTTACAATTTAAAATTCTTGGGTTTTGCTTAAGACAGATGGGATCTGAAACCCGGTATTTTAACAAGCCCTTCTTGTGATTCTGACACGTACTGAAGTTTAACAAACAGTTTTATAGATTTAGTGCAATTCTAATACAATCAAAGAACTTACCTCCTTGTGCTGAGTAGACAAAGCATTACTTTAGCAAGCCTTTATCAACAAGGGTTGTATGGATCTAAATGTATTTTCTGCTTAATTCTCAGTTAATTAGAAAAACAAAAGAATAAGATGATATAACTTTCTGAGAGTCTGAACAACATTTACAATAAAATAATACCAGAGATTCTAATATAATTATGCTATAAATACTCTTGTATCCTAGGGACCTTACAAGATGACTTTCACAATTTTTGTGTGGCTGTATTTGAAATGCAGAAGATACACAGAACTATATTATTTGTATATGTCCATAAACAATACTTACAGTGTTAAGTAAGGCATCATACACTGCATTCACAAATTTAGCATTAATCCCAGAATCTTCAATGCTATTAAATGGGGCAGTGGCATCTTTCTGCAAATTCAATTAAAAATTAGGTGTGTATAACATTTTAAGGACTATTTTAAATAACATTTGATTCATAATATTCCATTATAATTTCTACTATTTTTAGTCTGATGACATAAAAAAGAATTGTTAGGGCAAAATTTCTGAAAATTAAAATGAATGTATAAGGATTATTTTAATAGCTTTCTTTTTTAAAACTGAAAGAACGGAGTCAAATATTCACATTAGAACAAATAAAAACATTTAAGATATCACTTAAGTAGTATTTGTGATACATATAATTTCAGAAATACATATCAACTTCTCACATGTTTGTCTAAATAGTTGCTTAAGTTAATACTTGGTAGCAAATGAGGTTAAGTTTCTCATATCTTTTTTGGAAATTTTAAAACTAAAAGTTAATGAAAAATGTGTTTTATGTATTATTACCTTAAATGCAGCATTTAATTGTGGGAAAGAATCAAATGTTGTTAGATAAAAATCATGTACTGCTTTCCAGTCACCTGATGACTTAACTTTTTCTATATCTTCCCTATAATGAAAACATATATTAACCATATATAGAGAGAAATACTTAGATAAAATAGCATCACTTTTTTTGCAAATAAATGCCACCAACATACAGTTTGAAATACTGAAAATAAATACAGAAATATGTTCCAGCTAACATAAACATAGTTTATGAATTTATAGTTCTTAACTGGATTAAGCTATCCATCTGGCTTCAACTTTCTCATTCACCTGGTTTTAAAATATGTTTATTCTTAACATGGCTCTTCCAGTGATCACTTGTTCTTTCCCTTCCTGTGACTGTTAAAATTCTGGAGATTTTGTATATATTCTCTGTCTCTGCTGTCTCAATCTCACTTAGTCCTTCAAATGTGCCTTTTGGTTACCTGAGTGCTGACATAACTTTTATAGTATGTGTCACAGAGTACATAACTTTGGATTTAAAACTGTTCTGTTGATCAGTTTTTTTTTTTAAAGATTGATTTATTTGAAAGGCAGAATTAGAGAGAGAGAGAGAGAGAGACAGACAATCTCACTCCCCAGTTGGCTGCAACAGCTAGGTCTGTGGACAGGCTGCAGCTAGGAGCCAGGAACTCCAACCTGGTCTCTCACATGGGTGGCAGGGGCCCAAGGACTTGAGGCATCTTTTGCTGCTTTCCCAGGTGCATTACCAAAGAGCTGGATCAAAACTGGAGCAGCCAGGATTCAAACCAGCGCTTAGATGGGATGCCAGCGTTGCAGGCAGCAGCTTACCCCGCTGCACAATGCCAGCCTGAACTCTCAGGGGTATGATCGTATTTTGGGATTTCTCACGACAGGCAGAAGTGGACAGAGTGGACAGTGAGAGAGAGAGACAGAGAGAGAAAGGTCTTCCTTTGCCGTTGGTTCACCCTCCAATGGCCGCCGCTGCAGCCGGCGCACCGCGCTGATCCTGGCAGGAGCCAGGAGCCAGGTGCTTTTCCTGGTCTCCCATGGGGTGCAGGGCCCAAGCACCTGGGCCATCCTCCACTGCACTCCCTGGCCATAGCAGAGAGCTGGCCTGGAAGAGGGGCAACCGGGACAGAATCCGGCGCCCCAACCGGGACTAGAACCCGGTGTGCCGGCGCCGCAAGGTGGAGGATTAGCCTATTGAGCCACGGCGCCGGCTCAGAACTCTCAGGTTTTTAAAATGGCAACACTATATTATTTTATTCTCACCTTAATCATTTTTGTCTATTTTGATTCATATTTTCTTACTCAGTGTTTCCTTTCTTTTGCTGTAACACATCTAACCCTAATTTATTTTCATATTTTTTTTACCTTCAACTGAAGACATTCAGATTGTTGTGTGTTTACCCTTGACTAGTAACTTTTATGATCTACAGGTTTGATTCCTCACATGAAGACATTAGATAATGTGAAGTCATGGCATGCAGATAAATGACAACAGTTCTACATATCATAGTGAACTGAAACTTACTGGAAGTCTTTCATAGTTTTGGATTGGATAGGAAGGGTGGGTTCTGGAAGGGCTGGGGCCTTCATTTCAGATGGTAATGCATCTAGAGATAGACGCTGTTTTTGTCTAACATCAAGGCAAATTGGTGGTAGGTCTCTCACTGTGAAATATAAAAAAGCAATGTAATTAATCAGAAAACTTTTATAAATTATACAATGCCAGGCTAATTCAACACAAACAGAAAACAAATTATTGTGTACTGCAATCACTTTGGGATCATATAACAGAGAAACCTATCATAGTGAAAAACACTTACCAGAGCTTATTCCTCTATTCCCCCACTTCACTCGCAGATTTTAGGTTGTGTCTTACGTTAATGCCCAGATCTAATACATGGCATCTCCCCTTTCTCCCTTCTCCAAAGCTGACTAGAGTTTCTTTCTCTTCCTTCCTTCCCAAAAGTTGTATTTCAGGTAATATTTCAGTGAGAATTAATGTTTTAAATGCTAACTAGCTTTTAAAATATATGCAAATAACCTGTCTTTGCAATTCTTTATTGGAGTTTTAGAAATTTCTTATCAATTTGGATGAAGTTTTTCTATTTTTATTTTTAGAGGCAAACACTTTGCCAGTTGGTACTTTCCTTTTTGCAGTATTTCATAATTTTTTGAGTATAAAATAAAACAAATACAGAAAACCCTCACATAACAATTCTATCACTTAATGACTATGGGGTGAATTTATAATCTGTGAAACTACCAACCAGCCAAGGAATAGAGTTCCCGCCTTCCCTTTGTTCCAATTATCCAAAATTTGAATGGTCTGTAATTCAGTTACAGTTAACTTCTCTCAAGTTCTTTTTAATCTCTTTCTTTGGGGCCAGCACTGTGGCACAGCGGGTTAATGCCCGCCCTGGCCTGAAACACCAGCATCCCATATGGGCGCCAGTTCTAGTCCTGGCTGCTCCTCTTCCGATCCAGCTCTCTGCTATGGCCTGGGAAAGCAGTACAAGATGGCCCAAGTCCTTGGGCTCCTGCACCTGCATGGGAGACCCGGAGGAAGCTCCTGGCTCCTGGCTTCAGATCGGTGCAGCTCCAGCCGTTGCGGCCAATTGGGGAGTAAGCCATTGGATCGAAGACCTCTCTCTCTCTCTCTCTCTCTGCCTCTCCTCTACGTGTAATTCTGACTTTCAAATAAATAAATCTTTAAAAAAAATCTCTTTCTTCATCTCTTCTTAAGTTTTAAAGATTTCCTTCTTTTATATTCTAGTTCTCTTGAGGCATTTTCTGTTATGTATATTTGCTTTTTGTTCCTTCTATTTCTGTTTTTTTTTTGTATTTTTTATCTTTTCTCTATTTCTAGTCATTAAATTTTATTCTCTCACTTCATTTCTGAGTTTTTATAAATCTGATTTAGATTTTTTTGTTCAAGTGTTACATCATTTTCTTAATGGGTTTTATTTTATTTAAATTCATTTTGGCATATAATTATTTTATTTTCTTAGTTATGCTTTTCTTGTTATGACGGCATTATCATTTTATAAAAATTTAATTTGTATGTGGTTTTTAACAGATTCAATACAGTTTGTAGATACAATTCTAAGAATACAGTGCTGTTTCCTTCCTGCATTACTCCCTCCTTCCCTCACACCCTCACACCTTCACACCCTCCCCCTTTCTTTTTTCAGTTTTTGAAATACATTTTAAATTTTACATTACATTAAAAAGGTTTAATATTCACCAAATAAGTTTAACAAGTAAAAAGCAAAAAGACCCTAGTTTAATGGGAATAAAGACAATGGCTGTAAACAATAATGGAATGGAAAAATGATCATTTCACCCATATACAATAATTTTAAAGTAATCACAGATCATTAAAACTATAACAGTATAACATTCTTAACCACTGGTTTGACAAAGGTATAAAACAAATTTCACAAAGCTATATTTGCAGCAATACTGAAACACACACAGGCATTTCTTTCCCTTCCTCCCTCCCTTCCTTTCTTCCTTAGTTCCCACATGTAAAAAAGAACATGCAATGCTTGTGTTCCTGTGTCTGGCTTATTGTACTCAACATAATGTCCTCCAGTTGCACACATTTCGCTGTGAATGGTAGAATTTCACTCCTATTTACAGCTGAATAACATTCCATTGTGTATATCTACCACATTTTCATCATTCATTCATCTGATGATGGATGCTTTGGTTAATTCCATATTTTGGCTATCGTGAATAGTGCTGCTATGAACATGGTGGTACAGGTATCTCTTTGATACAATGTGTTCATGTCTTTTGGGTTTACACCCCCGTAGTGGGATTGCCGGATCATATGGCAAACCTAGTTTGAGTTTTTGAAAGAAATCTCCACACTGTTTTCCTTAGTGGCTGCACTTACTTACATTCCCACCAACAGTGTGTAAGTTCCCCTTTCCCCACATCCTTGCCAATATTTGTTACTCTCTGTGTTTTGTATTTTAGCCATTCTGACAGGGGTGAGGAGATGTCTCACAGCAGTTTTGATTTGCATTTCCCTGATGCCTAGTGATGGGTGAGCGTGTTATTCATATTTTTGTTTGCCATTTGTACTTCTTTTGAGAATTATTGACATACTTTGCTCATTTCTCAACTGAACTGGTTGTTTTGTTGCTGAGTTTTTAAAGTTGCTGAAACATTCAAATCTTTTGTCAGATAGGTGGCTTGCAAATATTTTTTCCCATTCTGCTGGCTGTCTCTTCAATCTATTGATCATTTCGTTTGTTGTGCAGAAGTCTCTGGGTTTGATATAGTCCCATTTGTTTAGTTTTGCTTTTGTTGCCTGTGTCTTTGGAGTCTTGTCCAAGAAATTATCCCCTATGCTAATGTCTTAGAGTGTTTCCCCTAAATTTTCTTTTCTTTTATTTATTTTTATTTTTTATTTTTTATTTTTTGACAGGCAGAGTGGACAGTGAGAGAGAGAGAGAGAAAGGTCTTCCTTTGCCGTTGGTTCACCCTCCAATGGCCGCCGTGGCTGGTGCGCTGCGGCCAGCGCACCGCGCTGATCCGATGGCAGGAGCCAGGTGCTTATCCTGGTCTCCCATGCGGTGCAGGGCCCAAGCACTTGGACCATCCTCCACTGCACTCCTGGGCCACAGCAGAGAGCTGGCCTGAAAGAGGGGCAACCGGGACAGAACCCGGTGTGCCGGCGCTGCAAGGCGGAGGATTAGCCTAGTGAGCCGCGGCACCGGCCTCTTTTTTTTTTAAAGATTTATTTATTTGAAAGAAAGAATTACAGAGAGAGGTAGAGACAGAGAGAGAGGTGTTCCATAGGCTGGTTCCCTCCCATGGCTGCATCGGCTGGATGCTGAGCTGATCCGAAGCCAGGAGCCAGGAGCCTCCTCCAGGTCTCCCATGCAGGTGCAGGAGCCCAAGGACTTGGGCCATCTTGTACTGCTTTCCCAGGCCATAGCAGAGAGCTGGATCGGAAGAGGAGCAGCCGGGACTAGAACTGGCGCCCATGTGGGATGCCGGCACTTCAGGCCAGGGCTTTAACCTTCTGTGCCACAGCACTGGCCCCTCCCCTACATTTTCTTCCAGCAACTTCATTGTCTCAGGTCTTAAACTTAGGTCTTTCATCCAACTTGAGTTAATTTTTGTATCTAGTCAGAGGTGTGAATCTAATTTCATTCATATATATATATATATATATATATAGGGTTCTATATACATATATGGATTAATTTCTGAGCTCTCTATTCTGTTCCAGTGATCTCTATGTATGTTTTTATGCCATTACCACCCTGTTTTAATTACTATAGCTTTGTAGTATGCTTTGAAGTCAGGTATTGTCATGCCTTCAGCTTGATTTTTTTCCTTTTTTAAAAAAATTTATTTATTTGAAGGGCACAATTATAGAGAGGTAGGCGGGGGGCAGGTGGTTCTTTCATACAATGATTCACTTTCCAAATGGCCGCAAAGGCCAGCACTGGGCTGATCCAAAGCCAGGAGCCAGGAGCTTCTTCCGGGCCTCCTACACGGGTTCACAGGACCAAGGACTTAGGCCATCTTCTACTGCTTTCCCAGGCTCTAACAGAGAGCTGGATTGGGAATGAAGCAGCCAGGATTTGAATCAGCACCATTATGGGATGCAAGTGGTGGCTTTATCCACTATGCCACAGCACTGCCCCCCAGCTTGATTTTCTTACTCAGGATTGCTTTGACTAATCTGAGTCTTTTGTGATTCCATATGAATTTTAGGATTTTTTTTCCAATTCTACAAAAAATGTCATTGGTATTTTGATGCAAATTGCACTAAACCTGTAGGTTGCTTTAGTTAGTATAGATATTTTAATGATATTAAATTCAAATCCATGAGCAAGGTATATTTTTCCATATTTTTTTGGTCCCTGATGATTTCTTTCATGAATATTTGATAATTTTCATTGTAGGGATTTCTTACTTCTTTGGTTAAATTTGTTGCTATTTTTGTGGCTACTATGAATGGGATTTCTCTTTCAGTGAATTCATCATTAGCATATAAAAAGCTATTGTTTGTTGTATGCTTATTTCAGAACCTGCAACTTTACTGAATTGGTTTATCAATTCTAACAGCTTTTTGGTAGGGTTAAGGTTTTCCAATGTACAACATCATGTCATCTTCAAACATGGACAACTTTTGACTTCCTGTTTTCCAATTTTGATGCCCTTTATTTCTTTCTCCTCCCTAATTGCTCTAAAATTTCCAGTACTATGTTGAATAAGAGTGGTGAAAGAGGACAGCCTTGTCTTGTTCCGTATCTGAGGGGAAATGCTTTCCCCATTTAGTATGATATTGGCGGTTGGCTAGACATGTATAGTCTTTGTGATTCTGAGGTGTGTACCTTCTATTCCTAATTTGTAGAAGATTTTTATCATGAAGGGGTGTTGCACCTTATCAAATGCTTTCTCTGCATCTATTGAGATGACTGTATCATTTTCGTTCTTCATTCTATTTATTGATTTGTGAATGTTGAACCATCCTTGCACTTCTGGGATAAATCCCACTTGTTCATGATGCATCGTCTTTTTTTTTTTTTTTTTTTTTTTTTTTTTTTTTTTTTTTTTGACAGATAGTGTGAGAGAGAGAGAGAAAGGTCTTCCTTCCGTTGGTTCACCCCCCAAATGGCTACCATGGCCAGAGCTA